AAAGTCTCATGCGTTTTAGAGAAAGACATTTTCCAGAACCTTACAATAGTGATAAAACAAAAAGGAAAAATCCATTAAGAAGAGTATTGTATGCTCAAAAAATAATAAAAGGCGTGATACTAATACTATTTTTTTCTAAATACTATGGTAAACAATGTAAGTTGGCCTAGTGTAGCCCCATGCTCGAAATTTATCATACCAAAGAATAAAATTTATCTAACATTCAAACTCTTGCCTTATTTCTTTATGATATGAATGAAATAAAACTATAATTTTGAATTGACTTTTCTAATTTTTTCATTTATCAAAATAAAATTTGGGCAGGCGTGGTGGCTCACGCCTGTAATCTGCACTCTGGGAGGCCGAGGTGGGCGGATTGCTCGGTCAGGAGTTCGAAACCAGCACTGAGCAAGGGGAGACCCATCTCACTTATAAATAGAAGAAATTAATTGGCCCAATAATATATATATTTATACAAAAAAAAAAAATTAGCCGGCATGGTGCGCATGCCTGTAGTCCAGCTACTTGGGAGGCTGAGACAGCAGGATTGCTTGAGCCCAGGAGATTGAGGTTGCTGTGAGCTAGGCTGACGCCACGGCACTCACTCTAGCCAGGGCAACAAAGCGAGACTCTGTCTCCAAAGAAAAATAAATAAATAAAAAAAATAAATAAATTGTGAACATTAAAAATAACCTAATAAAAACATATATGTAATGTTATCTATTCTGATTTCCATTACAAGTAAAGCTGCCTGTAAAGTAAAACAAGCTTCATGCTTTAAAGCTTTCCTCATCACAAAAAGCAAAACGGATTTCGTCTCAATGCACAGCACAAACTCTCGTGCGGACTATGAGTGCCAGCTGTGGGCAAGATTTCGTGGCCGTGAGCGCCGTACCGAAGTGTTAAGTAGAGACGGGGCTCTCACTCTTGCTCAAGCTGGTTTCAACTCCTGACTTGAGCATACCTCCCCGCCTTGGCTTCCCAGAGTGCTAGGATACAGGTGAACCACCACACCCGCTAAGACCCCATCTTAAACAAACAACTCCTGCAAACAATAGTAATGAATTATAATCCACTATATAAAATAAGAATCCATGGAGTCCATACTTACAACAAACAAACAGATATAGGAGAAGAAAAAGCTCTTCTTTACAATAGAAGCCAACTAAATAAATGGAGAAAGAATGATAGATTTAGAAAAATTATCATTTATAACCATCATTCAGTATGGTTGATTCAGCAAGAATCGTAAATGAATGCTATAGTCCAAGTTTGAGAGGATAGGATTTAGATAACTTCAGAGTATCTCTCACAAATTACTGGTTAATTACAAAAGGAAAAAAGGTAACTTTACAGTAGAGAAACCTGGTGATACCACTAACCAAGTAATTGATGTAACATCACTAATAGGGAGAGTAAGTGACATTATGTGACTCTTGTTGTGATGAATTAAGAAAAAAAAATCACTTGTGTGTATTCTTGCCAAAAATGCATAATCTAACCTACTTATGAGGAGACACCGAGCCAAAGCCAAACTGAGGCCATTCTACAAAATAAATGCTTGTGCTCTTCAAAAATGTCAATGTTATCAAAGAAGAAAAAGAAATTAAAAAAAAATAAAAGTTTGCCCAGGTGTGGTGACTTATCCCTGTAATCCTAGCACTCTGGGAGGCCAAGGCAGGATGAGGCTTTGAGTTACAGGTCAAGACCAGCCTGAGCAAGATGAGACGCATTCCTCCCCCATCTCTAGCTAAAAAAATAAATAAATAAAATGAAAACAATTCATATAAATGACATTATTAGTAGAATTGGTGAAATTGACTAGATATTTATATTAAATATAATATGAATCAATGCTACATTTTCTGATTTGATAATATTCTGATTTCTGATTTGCCGGTATGTAAGCCAATACCCTTGTTTTTAGAAATACTGAATTATTTCTGGATAAAGGGCATGATGTTGCCAAATACTTTCTAATAATTCAGGAAAAATATAATGCATTATAATACATAGTTATATAAGGGAAGAAAAATATAAATGTGATAAAATGTTATAATTGGCGAATCTGGGTGAAAAGCATACAGAATTTTTTATACGATTCTAGGGATTTATCTGTAATCTGAAATCATTAAAACAGAATTTAAGAATTAAATCATTCAATCTAATGCCATGCTCCACCATCTACACAGATGTGACTTGGATACGCTATAAAACCTTTTAGAAGTTTGCTATTAATATTCTCACGGGAACACTGTCCCTTCTAAATAAGGGCTTTGTGCAAATTGGAGGGAAGATAGTCTGGGTACCTCCCTTCTGGACCCCAAGTCCAAATCCCCAAATGCAAGAGTAGGGTAAGGAGAGACTTCGGTAGTTGGTAGAGCCTAGAAGAGATTAAAGGCGTCAAGTCGATCTCCACACCTGAGATCCTCCAGCCTCATTCAGTCAGACCGCGTATTTGAGGAAGCGCCACCCAGCCCTAACCTTAGTTTTCCCGACCTCCACACGGCGCCGGCCTCCTCCTCTCGCTAAAGGTGGACCTCAGACTCCAACATCTCGATTCTGGGACAGCCTCCATGGCCAGGTCCCGGATTGCTGGACTGGGACATGGGGAAACGAGTCCTTTCTGGCCTTCACCACAGCGACCTTCCCTTAGCCGAGCAGAACCGTGAGTGCCGGGGTGGGTGCGGTGGGGATGGGCGGTCGGCGCCTGGTGGGCTCGCGGCGCCCGGGCCAGGTGCCGCCAGCTTCGCCCCCGGCGGCGGTGGGAGCTCCGGGTGCCCCAGCCCCCTGTGCTCAGTTCCCGGGACGCACCCTCCCCACACCCACTGCGCGGCGTCCACTCGGGATGGGTCGGCTCCCGCCTCGACTGAAGCCCAGAGGGCAGCGGTCTACCCAAAAACGGTGGTTTCAGCTCAAACCGGGGACTCTCGGCTCCCAGGAACCTTCTCTAGCCTCTTCTAGGCCTTTGTCTCCATCGCTTGCGCCATTTGCCTACTATGTTATTTCACTTATTTTCTTCTTTAAAATGTTTGGTTCGTGCTGTATCGTCAGCTATGACGTTGCCTGACACATAGACGTGCCGTATTTGCTGAATGGATAATTGGTACCACTTTCTATTTATAGTAGAGACGGGGTCTCGCTCTTGCTCAGGGTGGTTTTGAACTCCTGACCTCAAGCAATCCGCCCGCCTCGGCCTCCCAGAGTGCTAGGATTACAGGCGTGAGCCACTGCGCCCGGCCTGAAAATATTTTTAAAAAATTCATCTGTACTGAACATGCACACATGTTTTTTTCTTGTCATTATTCCCTAAACAATACAATAACCATTTACACAGCATTTACATTACAGTAGGTATTATAGGTAATCTAGAGATTATTTAAAGTATATATAGGAGGATGCATGTAGGTTATAAACATATAGTACACCATTTCAAACAAGGGACTTGAGCATCCTCAGATTTTGGTATCCATAGAATGTCTTGGGACCAATTCTCAGCAGATACTGAGGGACAGCTACATATCTGAGTTACCTCTGGTACATTTAAGAAATACAGGCATACTACACTTTCTTGTATCTTGCTTTACTGCACTTTGCAGATATAATCTTTTTAACAAACTGATGGTTTCTGGCAATCCTGTGTTGAACAAATCTAGCCATGCCATTTTTCCAACAGCATGTGCTCGCTTTCTACCTCTATGTCACATTTTGGTAATTCTCATAATAGTTCAAATTCTTTCATTATTATTATATCTGTTATGGTGACCTGTGATCTTTGATATTAATATTTTAATTGTTCCAGGGTGCCAAGACAGCAAACTTAACAAATGCTGTGTGTGTTCTGGCTATTCCCCTCTCTCTCTCCTTCTCCTCCAGGTCTCACTATTCCCTGAGACACAATAATATTGAAACTAGTCCACTTAGTAACCCTACAATGGTCTCTAGGTGTTCAAGTCAAAGGAACACATCTGTCACTTAAATCAAAAGCTAGAAATGATTAAGCTTACTGAGGAAGGCATGCTAAAAGCCAACATAGGTTGAAAGCGAGGCTTCTTGCCCAGCCAAGCTGTGAATGCAAAGGAAAAGTTCTTGAAGGAAATTTAAAGTGTTGCCCCAGTGAACACATGGATGATATAAGAAAGCAAAACAAACCTGAACAAGAGTGAGACCTCATCTCTACCAAAAATAGAAAAAATTAGCTAGGAGTGATGGCACATGCCTGCAGTCCCAGCTACTTGGGAAGCTGAGGCAGGAGGATCACTTGAGCCCTGCTTCCTTCGAAGCAACTCTTATCCTTTCAAGTTTTATCATGAGGTTGCAGCAATTTGGTCACATCTTCAAGTTCCGTAATATAATAGTTCTCCTTCTATTTCCACCACATCTGCAGTTATTCCTCCACTGAAATCTTGAACCCCTCAAAGCCACCTGTGAGAATTGGAATCAACTTCTTCCAAACTCTTGTTATTGTTGTGGATATTTTGACCTTTTCCCATGAATCACAAATGTTCTTTTTTTTGGAAACAGGGTCTCACTCTGTTGCCAGGGCTAGAGTGCAGTGGTGTCATCATAGCTCACTGTATCCTCAAACTCCTGGGCTCAAGTGATCCTCCTGCCTCTAATTTTTGAAAACTTTGTCCCTGCTATTTTATTGTGAGAAGGCAGAAAGTCTTGAGATAATCATTTTGCGATATTTCTTTAAATGGGGTAGAAGAAAGTTTGGGGGGGACAAGGAAGGGTGGTTGATTTTGTACATTTGAAATTAAAGGTAAATGCTCTCAAATGTGTTGGGGAGAGGGGCCAAAGCTTTTACCCAATTCTCATAGGGCAGAGGCTCTGGATGTTTAATGAGAAAACTAATGCTTTAAAGACATAATAGACTTGTTACAGCATCAGTCAACTTCTGTCTCACTTAATTACCTGATATCATGATGAACTTCCTTTTCATATTTTTCTTCTCTTCGCTTTTTATGACAACAAAAGAGGATAAGACCAATGAGCACTAGAGCAAGCAAAATTCCTATAATAGCTCCCGCAATTGTTCCAGCTCTATTTGAAGCTAGAAAAAGATATTAATAAGAATAGTGAAAAAAAATCTATATCTATTGATAATGAAGGTAAAATACATATTAATAGACTGATTTCACTGTACAAATTAACTTTAAGACACATGTTATTCGGCCTTTTTGATCCGGTGGGGAAAATTCATTAAAAAGAACTTCCTGCTAAACTGTAAAATCTATTTCAAGCATAAAAACGATAAAACTTGCCTAAAATACTTTACCATTGAAAGCTATTTTGGTTAACATATAGGAATGTTCTAAGCTACTCATTCTCATAATGGCTACACATGGTACATGAGTTGATTTGACAGCTCTCACTTTCTTTTTTTTTTTTTTGAGACAGTGTCTCACTTTGTTGTTGCCCAGGCTAGAGTGAGTGCCGTGGCATCAGTCTAGCTCACAGCAACCTCAAACTCCTGGGCTCAAGTGATCCTCCTGCCTCAGCCTCCCGAGTAGCTGGGACTACAGGCATGTGCCACCATGCCCGGCTAATTTTTTCTATATATATATTAGTTGGCCAATTAATTTCTTTCTATTTATAGTAGAGACGGGGTTCTCGCTCTTGCTCAGGCTGGTTTTGAACTCCTGACCCCGAGCAATCCGCCCGCCTCGGCCTCCCAGAGTGCTAGGATTACAGGCGTGAGCCATCACGCCCGGCCTTACTTTCTTAATATATCATTATAATGATGAAGGTTTTATTAATAAAATGTATTTTCTAGAAAAGCTAATAACCAAGCCAGAGAATGTTTTGATCAAAGTTATCATCCTTTTGCCCTCAATAAACACTTGCTGACTGCATTAAAGGAAGTGGCATAAAGATAACAAACAAAACAGCCAACATCGAAAGAAGACACTTACGAGGAACAATGTCTAGGCGCAGCAGGCACTGATCAGAGCCCACTCTGTTTTTGACTGTACAGCTGTATGTCCCAGAGTACTCAGAAGAGGCATTTTTTACAGATATAACAGATGAAGTCATTTCTATGGGATGGAGAAAAACAGAAACCTTATTTTTACAGTACTCATTGCTCTGAGTAAAGGCAACGTCTACCAAGTTTGATAATCCAATTAAAAGCAAGACAGACCAAGGCTGGGAGCAAACAAACTGCCACCCAGCCACATGGGCATCTCCAGAATTCAAATAATCACGCTTCCAGTTCATTTGCATCAAGGCAAAAGCAACCGTGACCCTTTCCATCACAGAGCCTCAGCTGAAGCAGGGCTGTTGGTTAGCTGTTCCAAACCCATTTTGGGCCACATCTGATTATAAAAACTATCCTATTTCACAAAGGCTCTTCCATGCAGCAAGAAAACTTGCAAAGCCTATTTTATCACCACAGATGGAAGAAACATACAAAAGAAAGTCAGAAGGGGTCATCCAGTTTGGGGGACGGAGGGAAGGAAAGGAGAGGAAAGCAACTTAAGACCAGGAGGCAGTGAACAGGAGATGGGTAGAACCTGGTAATCAATCTGAATTTATAGGTCAATTATAACAAACAGATGAGTGATCAGATTTAGCCAATTTGCAACTTTCTAGTTAGTGTCACACAAGTTTTTGTTGTTGTTTATTTATAGACACACCATGGATAAAATATCTTCGACATGAATCTACGCAAAATACTCAAGATCCAATTCTTATTCTATTTTAATCACTAATTTATGATCATGAACATTTCTCATTAATTAAATCTACCAAAGTAACTAATTATAATACCCTAAAAAGATAGAAATAGCTCTTAATTTATAATATATGACACTAAGTTGACATTATAAAACACTGAATAACTGCCATGGAAAATCCTGACTGTTCTATACAGAAAAGGTAAGGCATTTGTGAATTTAAAATATATAAGCATATCCACACAAACCTTACTAGATTTAAATCCAAATCAATGGCACATGGTACAAATAGTATCATCGGCAGTACCTGTTAACCATGGGGTGGGCAATTTCTGTGAGTCGGACAATTTTTGCCATTCATATCGTAATGGAAGTGAACCTTCTTTTGGTTCACATTTTAGTTTAAAGTCATTTCCAATTTCTTCTGATCCATCAATGTAACATCTTGTACCTGAAGGCTTAACTGAAAAACAAAATTACAACTTTATATAAGAGAATTCATTTTTATAATGATTAAACACACAGCATGATACTCACAACCACTGACTCATTATCAGTTGGTCCTGGATTCAGAATTGACAAAAGAATGAAAGACCACAATAGGTTGTCAACATCAGTTTACTCAGCTTTATCCAACACAAAACAGGAAAGCAGCAGCTCAGGCAAAACCACCATTGCATTAGGAGGTTTGGCGATAATTCAGGCGCAGCTCAGTGCCCCTACATTCCATGGGGCACACCTGAAGAAAGCAAGGACGCTATGGGCCGGTCTACGTGAGATTCAAGAAAGCTCCCCCTCCATTCCTTACCTATTCTTCTTCTCCATGCTTGACATGTAGCCCTCTGGGGGTATGTACCAAGTCATATCCTTTACATGCCATTACCTTAACAATCGGGATTTATCATCAGTAATGCTGATAACAGGAATAATTCCCTTAGTGCAGCAAGAAACAATTAACATTCCCCATTTCCTTTAACTCAATCCATCCAGACAGCAGTGTTATAAAAAAGTAAATCTGAGGCTATATTCCAGGTCTCCCTGGGTAACTGTTTACAGCAGCTGCTAACCCATTGCCTGCAAATCACCCCAACCCTGGATTAATACCTTGGCATTGCATATTCCTCTGCTAAACTTTATTGGGGCATAACATTCACAGAATCAAATTAACACGTTAATCATGTGGGTTGATCACTTTTAACAAATGTGTATACACATCCATTGAGCACCACTCCAACCCTCTCCCAAGGAAGTTCCCTTGTGCTGGTCCCAGCAGATCCCACTTCAAAACCTGGCCCTGGGCAGCCACGGATCAGATTTCTACCAGTATAGATTACTTCTGCTTCTTCTAGAATCATGTGAATAGAATCATATAGTATGTACTGTGTCTCGCTCCTTTTATTCAGCATAATGGTTCTGAGATTGATCCATGTTGCTGTATGTATCAGTAGTCGTTTTAGTATTCCAGCGAATGACTGTGACACAAGTTTGCTTATTCAGTCACCTATTGATGAACGCTGTTTCCAGTTTGGGGGCTACTGTTAAAGCCTAATTAGCCAAACTGACAAGGAGCAAGTGTGTAGTCTGTCAAAACCAGATTGACCAGTGAGGAAGGCATTATGAGGAACCGTGGAGCCACTGGACAAGAAGGATTCTGAAGGATTCTGAGGAGACTCCAAGGGAAGTGGCCATCAGCTCTCAATCACACGTTTCTGAGGAGAGATTAGGAGAAGCAGGGGTTAAATAAGGAGTGGGTGCTGTGAGCGGGTGGGGCCGTCTAGTTGAGTATCCCAGTAATGGGCAGGTGGTGCCAAGCGGGTCTGGGGGCAACATTAGGAAGACAGCAATAGTCTGTATTTTACTGCTGCTCTGCAACCTTGGGAGAAATGTTTTCTATAAACTCTGTGGTTGGCTTTATTTCCATCTATCCTTCCAGGCTGATAGATGGCAGGCTTGCTTTTTTTTTTTTTTTTTTTTAAGTAAGTTCATTTTCATCCTTTGAGATGGGTTTTTATTCTTTTACTTCCATGAAAATAAAGGTGAGTGGGTTTTACAGTTTTGCGTTATTGTGAACAACACTTAGGTGCTTGAATGCTTATGTAAACATTGGCATATGTTTTCCTCTCTCTTGGTAATTGCTGGGTATATGGTAAGTGTATGTTTAACTCTATAAGAAAATGCCAAACCTTTTCCCAAAGCTGGCCAATAGGATTTGTCACAGCCAGGGTGATGTCTTCAACTAGGCTGTCAATCATGATCTCATTCCTTCTTAACACTCCTTAGCAAATTTAATAGTTTTACATTTCTCCCCTTTATGTGTTACTACTTGTACTTTTTAATAAAGAACAACAGATACATTTCATTGCATTGTTGATTTTCCTAAGTAAATTTGTTTCTTTTTCAGAATGATCCGTTGCTCTGGAGACTACATCTATTATACTTCCAAATAAGTTTTGCAAATTATTTCATCCTGTGAGTCTTCAATGAAAAAGCCCTATTCACCTTCCTTTCTTCAAACTACCAATAAATCCTTTGGTAGTAGCAAAGTAGGTAAGATATTATATCAATGTTTTGTAAATCAAACATCTATTGGTAATACAGTATCCTACCCCTAACTATAACCTTCATCCTTTCTACTAAAAATGTCCCTTTCCCATATGCCAAACATATCTAATAACAGGCAGTTATTTAAAGCTGCTACTTAGGAAATTCAGGGTTCAGCTAAGTCTGAGATCTCAACATACCCTATCCACAACAGAATGAAATTCTATCAACACTGTTTTCTGAGTGTCACTTTGGAACAGCCCACCTACTTTTCACTGGGAAGAAAAAGTGCAAGTCATGCCGATCCTTAACCATTACAACATGAGAAAGATTAACTCTTAACCCATGGCACTCCTGCTGGAATGGAAGAAAACCACAAAGGAAACACAAAGTCCCGTTCCCTAAACGTTTCTTTGGTCTGGGCTTTCTGAATACCTGGCCATTGTCCTCTGAACTCTTGCCTCCATGATCATTACTAACATAGCCAATAGTCCTTCTCAGATAAGGGCATATGACCATCACGTTGTACTTGGCCATGGTATCCCACCAATTTAGTAATGCCATGTTCCATACATGAACTGCTTCATCATCCTTCCATGTTAGCTGGCCTACCTCAGTCTATGGGAAATACACTTTAAATCCCTATATGGGGACAGGTTATACTTTTATCGTGATGTCATCCTTCCGGGAATGCTTTCTGCTTGGTTCAAAAAGACCTCTTACTCCAGGCAAAATCCATCAATAGATGCTAAAATCAATAGGCAGAAGTCAGAGGAGAAACAACATAGTTACATAGTCTCAAAGTAGCTCCCCCAAGATATTTTTTAATTACAGAGGGAAAAATCCTGACTTCATAGTGGAGAAACCCATCTGATAAAACTAAGCCAAGTGATCATGATTAACAATAAGACATGACATCATGTGTCCGCTGACATGACTTAAAGAGATTAAGGAGACATAAATGCAATGTGGATTCTAGATGTGATCCTAGTACCAAAAGGACATTAGTGGAGAACCACGAAATTCAAATTAGGTCTGTAATCTACAGTACTGTACCAAATGTAAATTTCTTGGTTTTGATAATTATAACATGATTTTGTAAGATGTCAACATTAGGGGAAATTAGACGATGGTTATACTCAGAAACTGCCTAATATTTTTGCAACTTTTCTATAATAGTATTTCAAAACAAAAGGGTTGGAGGAGCCATGCCTGGTACCAATGGTTTGCAAATTCCTCAGGACCAGAGTTCACTGAGTTACCATACTTGCTGTTGCTACTGTGTTCCGGCAGCATGGTGCAGTTTGAGTCCACCATATACATCCAGGAACTGTTAACTATGTATGCTCCACTCTTCAAAACAACTCAGTCTCTTTGTATTAACAGGACTCAGTAACCTCAGGGCCTTTGAGAACTCCAAGGAAAGGCACTGGTGATATGTGGTTACAATAAAATCTTTTATCAATTCCTTTTGTTATTACCCACTTCAGTTTCTTTACTGAGCTGCATCCACACATAATTTTGGTATATCTGAAAGAGCAGGGCGCCCCTGGCAATGGGGCAAACTATACCAACACGCTGCCCCTCACATCCAGAAGACCAACAGTCACCTGGGTTCATGGTCACGCAGTGCACAGGGCTCAATGAATGAACTATCATTACCTTTTTTTTTTTTGAGACAGAGTCTCGCTTTCTTGCCTAGGCTAGAGTGAGTGCCGTGGCGTCAGCCTAGCTCACAGCAACCTCAAACTCCTGGGCTCAAGTGATCCTCCTGCCTCAGCCTCCCGAGTAGCTGGGACTACAGGCACAAGCCACCATGCCCGGCTGATTTTTATATATATATATATATATTAGTTGGCCAATTAATTTCTTTCTATTTTTATGGTAGAGATGGGGTCTCGCTCAGGTTGGTTTTGAACTCCTGACCTTGAGCAATCCGCCCGCCTCGGCCTCCCAGAGTGCTAGGATTACAGGCGTGAGCCACCGCGCCCGGCCTATCATTACCTTTTGAATGCTATGGTGGTGAGTCCTGCAGATCTCCCATAAAAAAATCAAAACATAAGGTAGAGCCAAATGAGAGCTCTGATAACTACTGCTTAGTTGGGTCACTAGAGAGCACTTCCTCTTATCTTTCTCCCAGATTATCCAGGCAGAATTTTCAGGCAAAGCTAATAGATAAGCTTCCATCCAAGTCTCACTTTTAAGAGAAAACAATTCTGCTGGTTTCTCCCAGCACCGGTCATGATTCATCTCACAACATGGAAGAAAAAAACTACAAGAAATTCTTCTCTGGCATTGACACAGCCTCACCCGGATCAGCATATAAGTCATCCCTACTGCCTTTCAGCAACCACTTCCTCTTTCTCTTTCAATCCCAAATTTATCCCTTCTCTCCCTCCCTTGTTTGAATTCATGGCTCACATGGCTGTAGCAATCCCCTGCCACAGTAACAAAAGGGTAAACTGTGTCAGTGCTTCCCACTTATTCATTCTGAAGAATCAGATACTGGGATTGGAGGTTCAATGTCAAAGGGCCATTCCTGCTGCTGGACAGTCATGGCTGCTGCCATGAGTGTGCCTAGCCACATTATGTGCCGTGACTGCTGCCTAACCCAGGTTCCCTTTGGGATATGTGCCGCCTCATTCTGTAATGATCTCTGTTGGGACCTGCAAATATGACCCTGAACCTGGTCCTACTAGATCCAGCAACTCTCACACACACACACAGAAAATGACAAAATAACATGCTTGTCCACAACTCTTCTGGGAATACATGTTAATCACATAAATTTCAGCGTATCTACACCATTAAACAGGGGCTTCACAATAAATAATTCTGATAACCAAGTATAATCTGCTTGGTTTATCATGAACCAGTTAATGTTCCATATATATCTTAACTCATTACTTCTTAGAAAGTAGTGTTCAAAGAAAGTACAGTCAGGGTTATCATCTCAAGTATCTCTGAGCTTAGAATATGAGTTCAGACCAGTTGTTATACTTTTACCTGCTTACACATTTATAAAAAAGAAAAGTTACCCCATGTTTACTCAGTGTAGACAAAGAAAGCTAGGACAAGGCAATAAACCTAGATCTCTTAACTCCTGGGTTAGGGTTCTTTCTCCATACCACAATACTTTTCTGGTTACAGGGTGTCCCAAAAGTCACCATACATAATGAAAACGGGAAATTGTAGCTAAATGTACCTTTATTTACAATATTCATTACAAAATTTTAATATATGCTAGTTTTAAGTCATATGCTTTCAGAAAGACTTCAAATGTTTAAAATTATTACTTTAAAAAGCTAGGCTTTGTCTTACATACATGCCGATATTACTGTACTGTGACCACTCACCCTGTTACTAAGTAACTCATTTATACAAATAAAAATAACTCACCAAGAACTGTCAGCTGAAGCTTCTTATTTGCAACACCAGGAGCTTTTTTTACTTTGCACTGATACGTGCCAATATCTGACAACTGTAAATTCGTTACATTTATTGATGCATCACCAGATTTGAGATCGTTACTTGTAAAATGTACTCGTCCTTTCAGATCTTGATAGTAGTCCTCATAAATTTTGTCTCCAGAATACAAAATGATCTAAAAAAACACAAGACAGGAGGAAAAGCAAAAATATACACATACAAAAAAAGCATATCTCTTAAAGGAGCTCTGTACATACCTGCTACTACAGAATCCAAAAAAGAGAGAGAGAGAGAGGGAGAGAGAGAACAACGCAGTATGGTGAGGAAACCTACAATTATCCAAATCACAGAATAAGAAAATGGAAGAGTGTTACTGTGATCCTTGGGTATAGTCCCACATTTCCAAGACCCAACATTATTAACCACTTTGGTACCAGCATTGACTATAGCCAACAGCCACAGATGGACACGCACAACAACTTTAGCCAACAGCCGTGATATGACTTTTCTAGTTTTCATTTATCAAAACAAAACTGTGAACATTTAAAAATAACGTAATGAAAACATATATGCATGTTACCTATTCTGATTTACATTACAAGTAAAGCTGCCTGTAAAGTAAAACAAGCTTTCAGTGCTTTAAAGCTTTCCTCATCACACAAGAGCAAAACGGATTCGTCGTCAATGCACAGCACAAACTATCGTGCGGACTGTGAGTGCCGGCTGTGGGCAAGGTTTCACGGCCAGTGTGTGCTGTACTAAGGTTGTTAAGTAGAGCAATATAGTGAGATGGGACAAGAACACAGATGTGTTCATTCCTATAGACCCTATTTTTCAATTGCCTCTAAGGCTGCAGTGTGCCAGTCAAGTGTACAAAATCAGGTACACACTGCCCCCTGCCTCCCTAAAAAAGGCTTATCATCATTTACCTGTGCAATCTAACAAAAAGATAACTATTTTTTGTCTTAATACTAAGTTGGAAGCACTTGGTGGTTCTAGATTCTAACAGATAAAATCATAAAATAAACCTTTCAACATATGTGTAACCAGATTAACAAAACCTCTCAATGACTCTTCTGTGACTAAGGCAAAGCTCTGTTCCTAACTCCAAGTTTTCTGAGCCACTGTTACAGCCTTTGATGGTAATAACTGAAGGCTAGATTTAGAGGGAAAATAAAATGTGTTAAATACAACTTGGAAGAGGATTATAGTAGTCATCCCTAAAATTAACACATTTTATAATTTCTCACATTTGATAATAAAATCCCTACTCTGGTCACATGAGATCCCAAAGGCCAAAGAGCAGTGCTGACAAACTCTCAGAAAACACAACTACAATCTATATCCCGCAAATCATTTTTTATCTGAGATGCTAATTATGGGCAGTATAATCAGAATAAATGTCATCCACAAATACCTTTTTTTTTTTTTTCAGACAGAGTCTCACTCTGTTGCCCAGCTAAAGGTGCCGTGGCGTCAGCCTAGCTCACAATAATCTCAAATTCCTAGGTTCAAGCAATCCTTCTGCCTCAGCCTCCCGAGTAGCTGGGACCACAGGTATGTGCCACTATGCCCGGCTAATTTTTTCTACATATTTTTAGTTGGCCAATTAATTTCTTTCTATTTTTAGTGGAGTCCTGGTCTCGCTCTTGCTCAGGCTGGTTTTAAACTCCTGATCTTGAGCAATCCTCCCCGCCTTGGCCTCCCAGAGTGCTAGGATTATAGGCATGAGCCACCACGCCCGGCCCACGAATACCTTTTAATTAATAAGTTTATTCTGTAGGAACATCCTGAGTGGAGGAATTTGGGTTCTTTTTTTTTGGAGACAGAGTCTCGCTTTGTTGTCCAGGCTAGAGTGAGTGCCGTGGCGTCAGCCTAGCTCACAGCAACCTCAATCTCCTGGGCTCAAGCAATCCTACTGCCTCAGCCTCCCGAGTAGCTGGGACTACAGGCATGTGCCACAATGCCCGGCTAATTTTTTATATATGTATCAGTTGGCCAATTAATTTCTTTGTATTTTTATAGTAGACGGGGTCTCACTCTTGCTCAGGCTGGTTTTAAACTCCTGACCTCGAGCAATCCGCCCGCCTCGGCCTCCCAGAGAGCTAGGATTACAGGCGTGAGCCACCACGCCCGGCCTGGAATTTGGGTTCTTTTCTGTATTATCTCCTCTCCTACCACACTGACCCCACCCTCAATCCACTAAAGCTCTTTATTTACATATGAAATGTCTGCATCTAGGTCCTGCTCAATACCACTTTGCTAAGTCAACAAAACAAGCAGGTGAAGGGTCCACAGCTGATATACTATCTAAACACAAGCCATTACTGTATTTGCTCAATATTTTTGCCACTCCCACTTGTCAACAGCAACACCTAATACTCCTACAAATGAAGCTTCTATATATTTCTCTGGACTTAAGACCAAAACATTCAATCTATTTCTAATAGCTCGGTTTGCTACACACATACTTTATCGGTATTTCAGGAGAGTCTGACAAATAAGACCTATCCCCACTGTTGGTTATTTTGATACCTATCTTATTATTTTCCCATAAAAACAATGATTTATCATTTTTTCTTTAAGACAGAGTCTCATTCTGTTGCCTGGGCTAGAGTGCCGTGGCGTCAGCCTACCTCACAGCAACCTTAAACTCCTGGGCTCAGGCAATCCTCCTGCCTCTGCCTCCCAAGTAGCTGAGACTACAGGCATGCACAACCACACCCAGCTTATTTTTCTATTTTTACTAGAGATGGGTCTCACTCTTGCTCAGGCTGGTCTCGAACTCAAGCTCCTAACCTCAAGCGATCCTCCCAAAGTGTTAGGATTACAGGCGTGAACCAACATGCCCGGCCCCATAAAACAAAATCTTATAAAAACTCATTAAGAAATGGGAAACTAACATTTACCAGGCAACTTTACATGTTTTCATTGATTATCCTTCACAGCCCTGCAAGGATGTTCACACTTAACATTTAGGCTCAGGAAAGCAATGGCTCTCACTGATCAACTTGCAGAGTCGTACAGCTAGGATGCAAACCAGATTCATTTAACTTGGCACAGTACACAAATAACATTTCTATATCCCCCATAAGTTTACAAAATGCTTGTGCCTATACTATTTCATTGAATTCTAGTAACAACCTTGAGATGATAGGTGTATTTGTTCCTACTTTACACATGAGGAAACAGGTGTATGAAACATGGGAGGCAGTACAGACCACTGCAAGGGATACGTGCAGGTGTGACAGAGAGATCTGGCTTCAAATTTCAGCTGCCTCTGTTGCTAGCTATGTGACCTTGGGCATGTTCCTTCAAATCTCTGGGCCTGTTTCCTCCTTTTCATATGTATAATTCTCACTTGAGGGCATCAATTAAGGCTTAAATTAAGTACATACAATTAAAGTGTATAAAACACTGCCCAGCACACGGTACAGGGTAACTGCTGACTAAAGCAATTGCACCAGGAATAAGAATGGAAATTCCTCCAGCCCAGTTCCTCACATTCCTGGTCCTGAACCCACACAGCTAGCTAAAATATATCAAAATAGGGGCTCCATTAACATTTAAAATAGCTGAAATTCTATGTAAGCATCCTTTTCTGCATCAATCTCTTTCTAACCCTTCTACCTTTCTTTTGGTCTGACCTTACTGTGTTTTAGGTTACAGGCTAGGTTTCAATCCATAAGGAGACAACCAAAGCCAAGTCCCCAGTTTCACATGTATCTCCCAACTCCTGTAGACAGCACAGCTGTGCCTCCCACTGAGCAGAGAAGACACTGGATCCTCCTCCCATTAGAAGACAAACTAAAGGCTCAGGGCACACTGCTTCGTGGTCTTTATATGCACCCTGTCACAGGTTTCGCTACTCTCAGGAGTCTTAAGCCAGAGTCACTGAAGACTCATGCTCTCCGTATACATCCCAGGCTTCAGCTATCTTAAGCACGGGATCAGGGCTGGTCCCTAAAGGGAGGTGTGCACTGCACCAGCAAGGGACAACAGGAACTATAGGACCTCATGGAGAAACCTGTTGGCAAGGTGCTGGCAATTCCAGAGAGAGAGAGAGAGAAACTAGAGAAAGGGGAAGTAAAAGTAAAAGCAAAAGCAGGAAGGAATAGGGTGTTTGGGATGAGTAGACAGAATGAATCAGGCTCAATTTACTGTGCTTAGGGAGACAGAAGGAAGTTCTGGTAGCAGAATCAGGGCAAAGGGGCACCCTTGGAGGGAGTGGCCTTAGTCATTCATGACTTGGAAAAGCACCTTAATTATTTCCTTCACAAATATATCATGGGCAAACTCACTGGATCCACCAAAAATATTTCCTAACTATACTGATGCAGTCATTAAATGGAAGAACTTATCACTTTTAAACATTATCTTCCAAATGTATATATTACTACATTTCCCCAAGTATTTGGACTTGTTTTCCTCTCCCTGGTTTAATGTAATTTATTAACATTGATTTTTTTTAAATTAAATATGTCTCAGATGAAGCTAATATGCAACATTCTAATAAAGTGAAATATTCTGGAACCAATTAAAAGGCCAAGGGTGATATCTGTATTTGGAGGTGAGATTACTAGGCAAGTTTCCTCCTTTGTGTTCTTTTTGGCTTTGCAAGGTTTCTACATTAGGCTCTTTTTACTTTGATTGGAAAAAATACTGTAATAATATTTTGATTTCTTTTTAAGTTTAAGATTAAATATTTTAGAGACTGTTTTATGCTTTAAAGACTTTGTTTTGCTTTTTTAAGAAATTCATTTTCCAGGATATTTAACATGAAAAAATAAAGAAAATAGAATGTACTTACATTACACGATGTTGTATCTAATTACCCTACTACAAATAACAGAATCCTTAAAAATCTAATTCTGTCTGACCTTTAATAAAGTGGAGTTTATTCTCCTAACAAACCTTGCACACTCCTGCCTTCGTATCATGCCTGCTCCATTTACCCCTCCACCATTTCCTGCCTTATTATAATACTTTCTATCCAGATTTTCAGAACTTTCACAAGGTCTCCTTCCCTGAAGCCTTCTTTAAGAGGTCTAGTGACCTTTTCTCTTCTGTAACCTAAGGGCACTGATTATCCATTTCCATCCACTACATGTATGTCCTCCTATTCCACCTCCCATGACTGCTTCCTCACCCAGACCATAAGCCTGAGAAGTCTGGGGCCTTCTTCCAGCTCCCTGTGGCCCATCCATGTGGTTAGCACAGTGATGGACACATCAAGCAGTTGCACAGACATCTGCTGAGTGACCAAACTTACCACTTGATCCACTTTCTGATTATCAGCTGGTGATAGCAGCCATTCAATGTCCAGTGGTCCCTGATCTTCAGGACTAAGTGTAAATTTGCAAGGCAGATAGGCAGTTTCCCCTTTGGCTTTTTCAATCATTTGTTCAGGAGTAGTGATGCTCAAACTTCTGGCGAAATCTGGAGGAAGAAACGTACATGGAATTAAGCATCTGCTGTTACGCCGGCAGCACAGGGATACAGAGTCACGAGGTGGGGTCTGGGTCCACAGGAATGGAATCCAAACTCAGCGATGCCCAGGTTTTAGTTTGTGCCGTTGTAAAAAGGGTATGACACTTGATACAATCCCCTTTAAAAGCACTGCGCACTTCCAACATTATATAAAATGTAAGTTTCTTCTAGTAGAGAGTTCCTAGCCCTTTTTGCGCCCTTCCTTCTGCTCTCCCTTTGCTGTGACAATGGGTCCGGTCGTCATCTGTGGTGTAAGTACCATGCTCTATAAACCTATGTAAACCTATATCTTGTTCTTGCTCTATAATCCTATCTTTCTTTCCTCAATAAACCTCATTGCCATGCGTGCCTTAAAAAAAAAAAAAAAGACATTTCTTACTGTTCATGCCCTCCTACTTCCCTTCTGAAAAAGTCACCAAAATATTTATTATTTCTAAAAAGACATCTTAAAATCCCATAACTTATTCTGAAATTTGTATTCTATAAAACTTCCATTTAGATCTCAATTTAAAAGGTAATGCTAAATAGCAGTATTTTAAAAATATGTAAAATAAAATAAGATATCCTGAGCTCCAAACAAAACTTCACATAAACATTCTTCCAGTTGAGTTTGTTAAAAATGTATGGCTTAAGGCTGGTCCTAGTGCAGTGGTGTTCACACCTAATTGATCACAACCACTTATAGATTTCTCTGTTCCTTCTCTATTCCTACTGCTTCACTTGACTAGCCTTAAAAAAAAAAAAAAAAAAAAGTAAAATTTAAAAATGTTTTTAAAAAAAAAGACATTGGGCCTAGTGTGGCAGCTCATATGTGTAATCCTATTACTCTGGGAGGCCAAGGCAGGATTGCTTGAGGCCAGGAGTTGGAGAACAGTCTGGACAAGAGCAAGACCTGGTCTTACAAAAAATACAAAAATTAGCTGGGCATGGTGGCATGTGCCTGTAGTCCCAGCTACTTGGGAGGGAGTGGTAGGAGGATTGCTTGAGCCCAGGAATTGGAGGTTGCAGTGAGCTATGATGATGCCACTGAATTCTAGCTCAGGCGACAGAGCAAGACTCTGTCTCAAAATAAATAGATAGATAGATAGATAGATAGATAGATAGATAGATAGATAGATAGATAGACAGACAGACAGACAGACAGACAGACAGACAGACAGACAGACTGACTGACTGACTGACTGACTAGCACTCTGGGAGGCTGAGGCAGGAGGATTGCTTGAGCTCAGGAGTTCGAGACTAGCAAGATCCCATCTCTATTAAAAATAGAAAAAATTAGCCTGGCACAGTGGCACAGGCCTGTAGTCCCAGCTACCCAGTAGGCTGAAGCAGGAGGATCACTTGAGCCCAGGAGTTTGAAGTTACTGTGAGGTAGGTTGACGTCATAGCACTCTAGCCTGGGCAACAGAGTGAGACTGTCTAAAAAAAAAACTAAGAAACAAACAAACAAACAAAAAACACTTAATTTTTTAAAACTCTTCACACTATAAAAGTCTACACAGCACTACTTTGTCACATCTATGGTTTATTTGTGATAACCCAATATTTTCTTAAGTATAAACTCAAAATCCATAAGTGTCGCCATTTTCATTTTAAGTTGCTCCACCATTTGGACTTATCTCACCTGACACTGACACTTGGGCCTGGATGATGACCCGGAAGAGGTCTAAAGCACTAAGACTGTGGTATGCTATCTGGGCCCTGGCTCTCTCTTCCCTCTGCTTCCACCATAAAAATAAGCACAATAGAACAAAATTAAGAGTAAATCAATCCAAAGTCATACTTCTCCACAATGATTATTTTGATGTTGTTTAAACGAAGTTAGCCATAGCATATTCTTTCCATTAGCCCCCAAATAAGCTTAATACATACAGACTATCACTTGTAATAAACTGTTAAGCTGAAATCAATAGATTGAGAACTAAACAAAAGCCAGATTACACTAAAGACCATTTACATTCAGGCACCATCCTAAGCTTTTAATCACATTTAAGTGCACTCCTCTAACAGATTAAAAATGGATAAATTCTCTGCACTTCTCTTAATTCTGAGGCTGGCCTTGTTTATACCAATAAAACATGGTAGGGGCGAGCTGTGTGAGTTCCAAGGCTAAACTTCATAAGCCCTGGCTGCACCCACTCTTGCCTCCTCCAATGCCCGCCACTGTGTGAGCAAACCACACAGAGGGCAAGTGAGGTGTGTGACCAACACCTGACTGACAGCTACAACTACTCAACATACAGGCACCCTAGACAATCAGCCCAGGTCCAGACCAGCTGCCTGCAGCCCCACTGGTGAGCGTAGAACTTCCCACCTCAGCCAGCTTAACCTGGCAACCCACAGGATCGTGAATGATTTTTGTTTTAAGCCTCTAAAGTTTGGGGTGGTTTATTACACAGCAAAGATTGTTAAGAAGTTATCCAAACCCACTGATTCAGCCCAAAAGTCTATGGTCTCCATAGACTACTATGGTCTCCATTTCATGTCCACGTTTCTATTTAAAATTGTGTGATTTGATATTTGTGTATAATCAAATGTTTCTCCTGAATAACACTTTCTATTGTTTCCAATAAATTTAGATCTTTTCCTTCTTCATTCACTAAGGCATTCTTCTACCTCTCTACCCTATAATAATTTTTCTTGCCTTCTTGCTATGAATGTTGACAGTATTTTACTTTCTACCATTTGTATCACCCATCTGGCACTTATCATGTGCTGCCTTGGATTTTTTTTTTTTTCTTTATAAATTTTATGGTGAAGCTAAGGTAGCATCCAGGGTTTTGTCACATCTCCTGAACCTATCTTCTTCCCATAGTACCTCATATTTTTAGGACCTTTTAAAATGCGTGTCTTGATTTACCATTATGTGATTAGCTCCACTAGGGTTGGGAGAAATTGTGGATATGCTCTATCTCCTGCTATAGTTTCTTGCACATAGAAAAGAACTTGTGATTGGATTATAAATTTGACCAATTTTAGAGATGTTGAAAAAATACATTAATCTGCCAGATGAAATTCCTGCTAATTCATGTGTTCCTTTCTATAAGCTACTATACTTGTTGCCTGCATTTAATTTGTCTGGTTATTAATACTTTATGTATCAAGTAAGATAAAAATAATCTAAGCATACTACAGAATGAAAATTCCGTTTCAAAATGAATTAAGACATAGCCCCCCAAAATCAAGCTATAAATATATAAATAAGAATTAAAATTGCTATAATTAAAACTTCCTGATTACTGTGTGCTTTTACAGTTTTCATTTTGTAGAAATCAAATAAAAAAGTTAAATTACCTCAGTTAAATATCTAAATGTATAAAATTTCAAGCCCTCCTAATGCATGCTCTCAGTACTTTATACTACACAAAGTAATCAATAAAATGCTACTGTTTTCACCATATTAGCTTTCATTCTTTAATGTCTGATACAAAAAAGATTACTTTTATTTTAAAAGATTGCCTTTAAAAAATAGTCATATATGTGTATCAAAATGATCCGGAAAGATACACGCCAAACTGTTAACAGCAATTATTTTTGTGAACTGAGATTTTAAAAAAGATGATGATTGCCCATTTCTGCTTTATTGGTCTTCTTATGTGTATACTGCTTAAGAAATTTTAAACAGATTTGTAAATGGCTTTCAGTATTTCTTTTCCAAAAAATGGTTAAAACATTCAATTGTTCTTCATTATGTTACACTAGAAATCAATTGAAATCTCAAGATCCTGCAAAACAGTTATGGTGTTTCCTAGCAACACTGGAGGGCCTCTTTTCACAGAGGCATAGTTTTTCAAGTGCTGAAGTATGCAACAGTCACAAATCTGTATAAGACAAAAGGCAGACACTTGGTCTCATCCAGTGTCCCTAGGATTCTTTCCTGATACTACCCAATTTTATTTATGCAGCAAATAGAGTAATAATTTAACTTGCAAACCACTTGTAGGTTCAAATATGGTTTGAAAAGTAAATCCAATATTCTTATAATTTAATTTAAAAATATTCAGAGTGTGATAAAATATGCAGCACATTATCAAGCTACAAGTATTTGCATAGCTCAGTTAATAAGTGCACAGCACTGGATTGTATAAACAAATTGAATCACATCTCATATTGGCAGTAACTGAAATAACATCTCCCAGTTTTCTGCTTGCTTTTTTATCTCCAATTTCCAAGTCACTTGGATCTTTATATCTTCTCTTATGCCCAGTCTGAGCATCAAAGTGACAGGAGTTCATCAAAGAGTATTTTTTAGCCCTTGAAGTCACCTCCTACTAAGGGCTTAGAAGATCTGCTTCTACCCTAAGTAAGAATGGAACATTACTAGAGATAACGGGAGGAGCTATTCCTCTAGAAGGGAAGCAATGCTTTGAACTGATATCATGCCTTTATTTCCTTAATTTGCTTTTTCAAGTTTAAGGAATTTGTTAACCTGGATGGTCTTCAATGATCTTTTTCCTTCTGGCAATCTTAAAACCATAGAATGTTAGAAAGTGCTCATGAAACATTGTGGTTGGTTGTTTATTTTTTAAAAAGAAGTAATCATGAGAATTTTTAATCATGTTTTGAACGAGGAAAGCCTTAGAGAAAAGTAGAAAAGAGAACTAAAGGCTGGGCGCAGTGGTTCACGCCTGTAATCCTAGCTCTCTGGGAGGCCAAGGTAGGTGGATCGTTTGAGCTCAGGAGTTCGAAAACAACCTGACCAAGAGCGAGACCCCATCCCTACTATAAATGGAAAGAAATTAATTGGCCAACTAATATATATAGAAAAAATTAGCCGGGCACGGTGGCACATGCCTGTAGTCCCAGCTACTCAGGAGGCTGAGGCAGGAGGATTGCTTGAGCCCAGGAATTTGAGGTTGCTGAGAGCTAGGCTGATGCCACGGCACTCACTCTAGCCTGGGCAACAAAGTGAGACTCAGTCTCAAAAAAATAAATAAATAAAAATTAAA